CATCACATTACATCACTAGATTGTGGGATTACACTCATCACATTACATCACTAGATTGTGGGATTACACTCATCACATTACATCACTAGATTGTGGGATTACACTCATCACATTACATCACTAGACTGTGGGATTACACTCATCACATTACATCACTACACTGTGATTACACTCATCACATTACATCACTAGACTGTGGGATTACACTCATCACATTACATTACTAGATTGTGGGATTACACTCATCACATTACATCACTAGATTGTGGGATTACACTCATTACATTACTAGATTGTGTGATTACACTCATCACATTACATCACTAGACTGTGGGATTACACTCATCACATTACATTACTAGACTGTGGGATTACACTCATCACATTACATTACTAGATTGTGTGATTACACTCATCACATTACATCACTAGACTGTGGGATTACACTCATCACATTACATTACTAGACTGTGGGATTACACTCATCACATTACATCAATTGATTGTTACGATGTTTGTCGTTTACTATAATGACTGTGGGAATTGTGGCGCTGTAAAAAGTAAAATTGCATTGGCGCAGGAACATAAAAAGTGTTGTAAAGTAAACAATCTATTATATTAAATATGTAAATTTTGGCAATAACTATACAAACTCACTTTTATTTATTTCTATGAAAACGTGTTTGGACGAAGTGTTTTCCATGAGTACTTACTGTCCACAACGTTTAGAATATGTTTCAAGCATTCCATAAAAAACAAAACAAACAGTAAGCCAATTAATTCATTATTCCATGATTATCAAATTCGATTGCTTATTTTGTATAGAGTTATCCTTTTCAGAATGACGAACAATACAAAGGCAATTTTACATCTGAATCTTAGCAGGAAGCTTTTCCCTACGGATATGGTTAGCAGTAACAATACTAGAAAATCATTAGCGATGTTTGAAGGAATACTTCTCTACGGATATGGCTAGCAGTAACAATAGTAGAAAATCACTAGCGATGTTTGAAGGAATACTTCCCGATTTTCTAGTATTGTTACTGCTAACCATATCCGTAGTAGGTCTACAGACATTAAGTTTATGCTTATCATAGATTGATTTCGGATTGTAGTGTTAGTTGATCAGTTCTTCGTTGCTGGTTTAACTGTTGTACGTATAATTAATAATCAATACAAAAATACACGATAAATACTGTATCATGTGACGAAACTATCACGTACACGAAACTACTGACATAATATATACGAAGCCCATTCTATCATTCGATTCACCACCATTCTCGCTGAGTTATGCCGTTTCGGGATATGTCATCTCTCTCTCCAGTAACTCTGGACAAGAAGAAATAGAAAGAACAAAACTAGGCTTTTTATAGTGGCGAAGTGTATATTAAACAACTTGTCCGCTAAATCATCCAAAAGTATAAATTAGTGAAACCATATTTTTTGCAACTCCTATTTAATGATAGGTCCACAAAGTCCATACATATATAGTAATACAATAGCTGTTACATGAAAAGCGTGTGTAAAGCTATACGACTTGAGGCGTGGTACCTCTGTAAAAATCTTTACCGCGAGTTGAATTGTATATTGCAGGTTTGAAGTATTTAGGTAAATTGTGTATATCAATCATCAGATCACGTCGTCTGTGTTCGTGATAGCCATATACTGCTGCTCTAATAAATAGAGAACGAATCTTTACATTTGATACCCCCCCCCCTCCAACTTACTTGCAAATACAGTCTGGAAGAAATAAGCATAATTACAAGCGAAATAAGAGTTGGTTTTGGTTTGGTCTGAAGTTTGACACTAAAGCTACACAATAAGCTATCTGTTCTCTGCCAGCTAGCGTTATCGAAACCCGATTTTTAGCGTCATCAGCCTGTAAACTTACCGTTGAGTCAATGAGAGGCACGAAATAGGAAAGAGAATTGCGGGAAAGTTTTCTGCATTTTTATGTATTATTCATATCCCCCCCCCCACCCCGAAAAATTTCATCTGTCCCGATTTTGTCTTATTTTCATTATTTTGTAGAAGGGTTATAGCTGACCTATGACCTTGCATGTTATTGTTTCCATAGAAACTAGCAGTTGTGTAAATAAAAGTTATTCTGTGCTACTTGGCAGACAAATGGTTCACTTAATCTAATCTCGATCCAGCAACAACCGGACTTCTAGGCACGAATATGTGGAACTGCAAATCTTATACTGGTGTATGCTGTAGTTCAAAATACTCTTGTCGACATTACGGTCTCCAGTGTACAAATACACGAACTTGCATGAATCTGAAGAACAGGATCAGGAATTTTAGATACATCTGAAGAACAGGATCAGGAATTTTAGATACATCTGAAGAACAGGATCAGGAATTTTAGTTATATCTGAAGAACAGGATCAGGAATTTTAGTTATATCTGAAAAATAGGATCAGGAATCTTAGTTATATCAGAAAAACAAGATCAGGATCAAGAATTTTAAATATATCCGAAGAACAAGATAAGGAATTTTAGGTACATCTGAAGAACAGAAACAGGATCATGAATTTTAGTTATATCTGAAGAATAGGATCAGGAATCTTAGTTATATCAGAAAAATAAGATCAGGATCAAGAATTTTAAATATATAAGAAGAACAAGATAAGGAATTTTAGGTACATCTGAAGAACAGAAACAGGATCAGGAATTTTAGATATATCTGAAGAACAGGATCGGGAATTTTAGATATATATCCGAAGAACAGGATCAGGAATTTTAGGTACATCTGAAGAACAGGAACAGGATCAGGAATTTTAGATATATCCGAAGAACAAAAACAAGATCAGGAACTTTAGATATATCCGAAGAACAAGATCAGGATCGGGAATTTTAGATATATCCTCAGAACAGGATCAGGAAAAACAAGATGAGGAATTCTAGAATGAAGGATTTTCCCCAAGGATGTCCAGGGACTGGGCTTCCTCTTCATCTGCCCTAAATCCGAAAAAGAAGATAAACTAACAGAAGTAGGCTTCTGCCTTATTCCCAAACTATATAATTATTAAAAAACAACCAATGAACTGTAATTATGTTATTAAAACAACGCAGCATTGAGCTCTATCTATTAAAAGCGTGGTTAATGATGATTCCAATGATATATATTTACTGATCCATGGCACATAAACTCCAAAATCTAATGATTTTTGTACCCAAAAATATTTGCCAAAAAAAATGGCCTGTCCTGATTTTTTCAGATTTTTAGCATTATTGCGTCTTGATAACACTACGGTGGAATTATTTCTCTTTAACTTTTTTACCTATCTACACCTCAACGTTTATAACACGGAATTTTTTATCTTATCCTTACCGATTATTTTCTTTCTCGACATTAAAATATAATATCAACTTTAGATTTTATCAAACCGTACGTGGGTGTTAGAAATACTGAAACGAGGTTTTCACAGCACAAAGGCATGCTTCAAGCAAAATTATCTCTAAAAAATATTCACGTTGATGCGACAAGTGACAATCGAGATAAGAGTAACACAACAAACAGCACGTGCGTTCTTGCGTGTATCTGAAAATACACCTGGCACTGGAAGAGTCGTGTATCTATGAACATGGCGGTGAAAGAGTTAACACGAACTGGGAGAGTCAGGTATCTATGAACGTGGTAGTGAAAGAGTTAACACGAACTGGGAGAGTCATGTATCTATGAACGTGGCGGTGAAAGAGTTAACACGAACTGGGAGAGTCATGTATCTATGAACGTGGCGGTGAAAGAGTTAACACGAACTGGGAGAGTCATGTATCTATGAACGTGGTAGTGAAAGAGTTAACACGAACTGGGAGAGTGATGTATCTATGAATGTGGTAGTGAAAGAGTTAACACGAAATGGGAGAGTGATGTATCTATGAACGTGGTAGTGAAAGAGTTAACACGAACTGGGAGAGTCATGTATCTACGAACGTGGCAGTGAAAGAGTAAACATGAACTGAAAAGACCGTCTTACCTGGAGCCGTAAGCCCAGACGTCATACCATTGAAACGCATCTCTCAACGGCAGGTTACTGAGGACACACCATGCAGCTGTAATGGCGACTGTAATGGCGAATTTTATTAGGTGGTTAATGTGGGAGAAAGTTGAAAGACCTAGGTAAACAATAATGCAGTAGTAGATCAAATACTGTGGGAATCCGTCGTGCTGATTAACTATCATTTCTTCTGTTTGTAGGCTTAATTCTGAAAAGTTTTTATGGAACTCGGACCAGGACAAAGCACGTCTCATCTATGTTGAGAATAAAAAGTAAACACTTCATATGCTAAAAATAACAACATTTGAAGCATAATTAAAGAAAATAACATATAAACTATAAGGATTTAGTGAAAGAAGAACGCTTGAAATGCATTTAGGAGGTCTTAGGGATTACACAAAATGAAATTTTAAATTTTTGAGATGACGAAAAGTATTTTTAATTTTAACATGAAAATTACTTTGCACACGGATTATTCAAAACAAATACTCAATATATTCATAGACAAAATTTATTTTATTTTATTAGAAATACTCCACTAAGAGTCTTTTTGTATGTGAAAGACTTGTAATATTAACTGAAAGACTGCTAAATTTCGTGAAGATGTACCCAATATATAGAGAGTTATAAGTATTAAATTTATATCAACTTTAAACGAGTAAAAAAGGTCACGTGACTCGGTCAAATTGACCGACCCCGTGTTGGGAGGGTTAATGATCTACTATACCAACGTTGTTAAAGAAGAGGTAGGCAACAGTTCTGACATTTTAACCCTCTATTGCACATTGTAACGTACAGGTAACAAATCTACCTTTGTTACTTAATATAAGTAGAAATGTTTCTATTCAGCAGTTGAATGTTCTTCCATCCAGGTAACAGTTTAAATAAATCATAGAATTATTTTTGTTGGTTTTTTCAAAAGATATTTCACAAAAACATATTTTGTGTACAGTATAGCCTTCTTTAAGTAAGAATTTCAAAGAAATTCATAATACGTGCAATAAACGGTTAAAATAGGCTATTCAGTATGTTATATTACATTCTATTACAAGTGGTAAAAATATTACATTTTTAAAAGCTCACTTATAAATATAAGGTAGGAATAAAACTTATAACGTATTGTGAACCATATATATAGAATTTTTGAATATAACAATAAAACCTATGAGGTAAAACATATAATAACACACACACCAACTAGTTTTGTGACATAGCTTGTTTGCTGTTAAGCATCAAGTTACACAATGGGTTATCCGTACTGTGTCCGCCACGGGTATCAAAACCCAGTTTTTAGCAATATTAGTCTTGAGACTAGCCGCTGAGGGCGGGTTTGACATAGCTACTAAAGTCATTGAATTGTGTCATACACACTCGTATATACAATTAATTCCTCATATTATATGCTTTTACACATAATTCTACGTTTATTTTTTTCAGAAAAAAGGAACGTTCGTATTGTACTTTAATGTACTTCATGCTCCGATTACTAAAGATTTCTGTAGCACTATCTACAATACGTATATAATGAACATTATGTGGTTTTGATAGATAACATTATGTGGTTTAGATAGATAACATTATGTGGTTTTGATAGATAACATTATGTGGTTTTGACAGATAACATTATGTGGTTTTTGATAGATAACATTATGTGGTTTTGATAAATACATTATGTGGTTTTGATAGATAACATTATGTGGTTTTGATAAATACATTATGTGGTTTTGATAGATAACATTATGTGGTTTTGATAAATACATTATGTGGTTTTGATAGACAATATTATGTGGTTTTGATAGATAACATTATGTGGTTTTGATAGATAATATTATGTGGTTTTGATAGATAACATTATGTGGTTTTGATAGATACTTTACTTATTTACTTTACTGAAATTTCGTAAAATAATACCTTTGCAAAAAATTCTCGAACGGGCCAGATTAGAACATTCATTAGAAACAGATTTATCTTCATTAGAACATGAAATAAATAGATTACAACTTAACAAACACCGTTTGATAATAAAGTTGTGTTAAACTTAGTTTACGCATAATAAGCCATAATCACAGAGTTGAAGAAACAAACAAAAAAGAAAAAATAGCAATAATTAGCATTAAGAGACACATTATTAGTTATCATCACTTTGGTTGAAAGATGGCTTTCTAAAAACGCCTGCGGTAGAATGTTAGCTACAACAGTCAATCAGTGAAGATATGTAAGAATACGAAAGGTTTATTAATGACAAAAAAAAAAAGAGAGGGACAATTTCCGTTACAGAATTTACGCAATTTACAAGAAATAAAAACATTTCCTCTTTATTTCAGAGCGACCCATGATTTTAAATTTACCAAGAAATAAGAGAATCCGAAGCAAGTCATATCCGTTTTTCACTACGGTATTAATCACCGAAAGTTAAGGAATCAATGGAACCAATCGAGTTAATATTCGAAATGAAAAAAAAAAATAATCACACTACACTGCAGTTTTTTTCAATTCACATTCCTCTTAATTAGACCATTGCGAATTTCAAATCAGAGGCGTGTAAAAACAGCATTATAGATGTATTTATTGCTGCTACACAAGGTAATAACAACCCTAGTGTTCGTTACTTGAGATTGAAAGACAGATCTACTTGGTAACGAAATGTGGCAGATTTAAAGCAATACTTTTACAATCTTCGGATTTGAAATATGTAACGGATTAATTAAATGGAATGAAAAAAAACAACGACATACATTTGGAGCCAACTGTTGCCTTGATTACTAGCCTATACGATAATGTAAGTCTTATTATTAATTAGTTAAAAATCTTTTATAACTAGATACTAATTTAAAATCATAAATAATATTCAACGTTAAACTGGATGACGTTGTAACGTCGAAACATGTAGAGTCGTCAACTTTTTGAAGGCCATAGATAGGCTTAAATAAATCGTTTTTAATTGTGTACCAGTTTAACGTTGAATATTATTTATGATTTTAAATTAGTATCTAGTTA